CTTGAATGGATAGTGAAAGAAACTTTATAACAAATGTACAACGTTTCAACAAGCTTATGCCATCATCATATGTATTTTTTATTTATTTTACTTATTCAACTTCTAAAAAGTGGGTTCCTAGTCATCGCTATTTTCCGGAAAAAAAAAGACCGTAGATGGCGATGCAATGCGACTTTTGTAGCTATATTTGCTTATCATGTGACGTCATTAGCTCATTCATTTACTCACCGATTAGTAGGACTGTCATAACAATTGAATGATAATACTTGAGCAGAAAGATTTATATTCAGCATTAGGGATGATGCAAGTCCCTGAGTCAGTTGTGGAAATAAAGAGCACGTTGAACATTTGATGTGACTTGCAGTGGTAATAATGTATTCTTGAGATCAGGTACAATTTCACCGTATTTAAAGGCGACTTTACATCGCCACCTATAATATATTTGATTTATAAATGTGATTTGTATATATTATATATTTTCACAAACCTCGACTAATGTTCAATGCTGTAGACTGCATGGTTTCTCCCATTATCTGTATGCGTATATCCAACTTATCTAGCGCTAGTCCTGTACATAGCAATAAATTTATACCACATGTTGAGATAAAATTGTAGCCTGGAAAATTTAAGGATGCCATCAACACTGTGAATATTGAGATAAAATTATACCCTGTAGAGTATAAGGATACCATCAACACTGTGAATATTGAGATAAAATTGTACCCTGTAGAGTATAAGAATGCCATCAACACTGTTAATGTTGAAATAAAATTGTACCCTGTAGAGTATAAGAATGCCATCAATACTGTTAATGTTGAAATAAAAGTGTAACATATAGAGTATAAGGATGCCATCAACACTATTAATGCTGAAATAAAATTGCACCCTGTAGAGTGTAAGGATGCCATCAACACTGTTAATGTTAAAATAAAATTGTACCCTGTAGAGTATAAGGATGCCATCAATGCTTTTAATGTTGTTAATAGCGGTGTTTAATTTCTTATATAAGCGTTTTTGACAGTCATGTCGTTAATTTCAACGTTTTAAGTTTCATCTCACACTAAAAGGATATAATAATGTAAAACGCGTATACTTCATCTATCTCAAAATATTGTCTTTTCAGTTGTGGCAAACTACTTTTTGTTGCTTTTATTTTAAATATTACTTCATAAATATTGTTAAATTTTATTAGCTGCATCCTTCACAATCAAACCAAATCACTCCTCTTTTAATATTTACTAGGTGTTTCATTCTAAAAAATCATGATTTCGCTGCTGAACCGGTAAAAGTGATTGCTTACTTATCTTTTGTATTTATTTTATTTTTAGAGAAACACTGTTTATTAATTAATACAGGGCTGTATTATTTTCGTTAGTATCGAAATGTTTCTACTGTTTCTATTGATAATAACACTAATCATTTGTTTGCTATGGACCAGTATTTAGGTGAATTTCTTATACGAGTGTAGAATTCATGAATAGGTAGTTTTAGGCTAACAAATGTAATGAATATGTTGAGTAGTAAGTTATAAAGAAACGTTTGTAAATGTGGAAAGTAACATCGTAACTACGATAGCCTATCCAACCTGAGCTATAAATCATTGATTATTTGTAAAGCCCTCGTACCCACGCGTATATATGTATGTACATTATTATGGCAATTACTATTAACCTTCGCAGTATTTCATTGTTCACTTACAAACTCGGAACTAAATACTAAGTTTCATTGCGTGTTATTGTATTGTGAATAGGAGCAGCAATGGCCTTATGGTTAGCGTTTTGGGCTGGGGGTCGAAGGGTTCGAAGCTAGAGACGTGATACCCGTTACAAAAGTGACATTCAATCCTATTATTTAGCTCAAGGAACCGGACAAAGCCTTTCTGACAGCGGGTGTGATGCTGTTTGCTGGCTTGCTACCTTCTGCTAAGTTTAATAGTTCAAAATTAGGGACAGCTATACGTGATCCTAGAGGTCTCTGACCTGATTCTTATTCGCATAAGGTGTCCTTCAGATTGGGAATTACAATTATATTTTTTCATCAAAGCAGCTACGTCGATGCTGCTTGCCTATACCTCATTACATTACAATTAACATAGACTGAAGTTTTAAATTCGTTGACGGGCACGTCAGAGCAATAAGTCGTTGTTGTTGCTATTTTAGTGCAAAGCTACACAATGGGCTAACTGCAAGCTATCCACCAGGGGGAGAATCGAACCTCGGATTTTTTTGTTGTAAGTTCATAAAATCACCACTGACTCTCTAGAGAACAACAATAATATTTTAAAGGTTTAAACAAAAACAAAAAAAACTAGATGGTTCAGTTAAAATATATTAAAGAAAAACGAAGAGTTAAAATTATAGTAATATAGTAAGTTCGACTTTTCGATTCCAAAATTGGAAAGTTATTTAATAAAGTCAAACAATTATTACAGCTTTTTTTTTTTGAAATAGCAACTTAATGTATAATAAAACTGATATTTTTTTGACATGAAATCGATTTCTCTGGCAAAGAGAATCTAAACTTATTATTACTTCGTTTATCCGAGTGTAAAAAAAATGTCAATAGTATATTAAGGCTATGTTGTATATTTAAAGTTAGTGAAAATATCGTGACAAAAACGATTTAGTTCTAGTTGGAAGTTGTTTGTTTGTATTGTTTGGTGAATTTCTTATAGAACTAATAAATTCAACATTAAACTGAGTTATGTCGAGTCAGACACTACATTATTTTTCATGCTGACAGAGACGTAAGTATTGATTTTCGTCAGCAGAGACACAATCTAATATTGTTTACAGAATGCTCCGATTTTACGCCCAAATATAAAAAAAAAACTTTCAAAGAGCATCGCTTGCGGGAAGCTCCTAATTTATATTGTCTGTTTTGTTTTACCATAATCCGCTGTGTCCAACAAGATGGCGAACAAGTGACTTACTTAAAAGTAAGATGGCGAGATAAAAAACTGCCACGTATGATGAATAATTCAAAATTATGATTTCCTTTCTTGGTAAATCTGACGAAGATTTTGAATAATTTACACTTATAATTAACATCTATAATTTACACCAATATAAGCTTATCTTACTCACTTAATATTTGCTGATGATTATAGTTACTACTTTAATCTCGAAATTAAGAGTATTCATCTTTGTCTTTTACTATTAAGAATAATTAGACAAGGATTAGAAAACAACTACTTGAAGTAGTTTGATTTTATTGGCATAAATCCTTGCAGCTCAGCCATTTAACTATGTACCTTTTATCATAAGTTTGTTTATTTGTTTGAAGTTAAGTACAAAGCTACACAATAGGCTATCTGTGCTCTGTCCACCACGGGTATCGAAACCCGGTTTCTAGTGTGGTAAGTCCGCAGACATACTGCTCTGCCACTGGGAGCTTTTATCACAAGAAAGTTTGATGTATGAGCTATAGCTACAATTCATTAATTCTAATCTCGGCTTATTTAATAACAGATATAACCATTTATGTTATAGTTATAGCTAACTGTAGGCAACTTGCTTACTATTAGTGATATTTTACGTTAAGTTGCGGTCTAATGATTTGTTATAGTCTCGCTTGTTGTCCATTATAATGATTACTTTTTATATTTGTTTGAAATTAGCAATGATGCACACTGTTATCGACGTTATATAATTAGTATGCAGAGCACTTGATGAGAGAGGTAATTACTGATACAGAAGGAATCAAGGTTAACGGAAATAGAATCTATAATCATATGTATTCTGATGACACATCATTTAAGGGTGAATCTTGGGAAGAGATACAACGATTACAATATGTTGATAAAGGGAAACATTGTAGACTCAGAATAAATGCCAAATACAATTAAGACAGTGATAATTTCACGATCTGAGGAAGGTCCTAAAATATGGCTCGAAGTGGAAGGTAAAGAGTTGGAACAAGCAGAGGAGTTTAATTATTTAGGGACGAATGTCAGTATAATGATGATGGCAATTTAGAAAATAGATAAAGATAGGCATTGCAAAAAGCAGAAATCTTCAGTCTTAAAGGAATGCCCAGGTGAGATATCAAACTAGAATTTAAGAAGGGGCTACTTATGGTCAGTCCTATTCTACGGGATGGAAACATGAACCCTGCTTGCTGAAACAAAAATACAGTTTGAAACATTTGAAATGTGATGTTATTGATGAATGATGGAGTAATGAGGAAGTAATGGAATGTGCAAAAACATATAAATACAACTGATGATATATATATATGGGAAACGGAAGATGCGCTACTTTGGGCATTCGATCAGCTCTGAGGGAAAGTTGGCAGAAATCCTGATGGGTAAAATTAAAGGGAGAAGAGTGAGAGGCAGACAAAGACGCGCTTGGCTCGATGACGTTACAAATGGGATTAGAGATGAAAATCTTGAACTAGGAAAGCTGGCAGAGATCCTGATGGGTAAAATTAAAGGGAGAAGAGTGAGAGACAGACAAAGACGCGCTTGGCTCGATGACGTTACAAATGGGATTAGAGATGAAAATCTTGAACTAGGAAAGCTGGCGTGAAATAAAAAACAGTGAAAGACTATAGTCGTCGACCTTAGGAATTGGGGGGGGGGACACCATGCCTGAATGATTGAGAATTAGCAATATGTAGGTTAACAAATAAGTGTATTATTTTTAAATTTTCTAATTAAAAAGTTTGATCAGATGAATTACTAATTTAGTCTCTAAGTACCCAAAATATATTTCTAACTATTTCAGTAATCATTCAGTTAATTTTCTATCATTTTACTTGTTTCGGGTAGGCATCTGCAATAAGTGCTGTGACTTTTTAATGAAAACCAATATAATGGTCTTACTTATAAGATGTCTATTTCGGAAGGTGATACAAGTCCCACAATGATCCAACCACCTTCCAACGTTCAGATTTCACAATTCCAAATGAACACATTATATTCCATCTATAACTATGTTTTCCAATGAAGTGTAAAACGTCGTTAAATTGCTTTATCTTTTTCATATTCTCCATAGGTCAATCAAGTGGGGTAAGACAAAATGAATGGATGGAAACAAAGAATGGACATTCCAATAAGCGGTCTAACTCAAGACAATACCATACCATAGCAGGACACTTCATCCCCATGGAACTACAGAACTCAAACATGGACCTAGAAGTAGGTTTAACGTTCTGACGTTTAAATAATGTATGGAAGTAGAAATAAGTTAATAGTGTTGTTAATAGCTTGTACTCTGTACTCCGTTATTAACTAATTCAACATAACTCAGTGTAATGGAACCAATCGTGGTTCATTTTTCTTTTCAATAATGTACACTGAAAGATCTAAACGTCACGAAGATTCCAAGTTCAATTTAATTTAAAGACTTTCGCTTTCCTCAAGCTGTTCAATTTTTTAAATCACTTAAGGTTCAGCAAGAATATATTTTCATATTTTTCATTCGATAATTATATGACCTTAATGAATCATCCTTTGTTCTTGAAACAAACAACAACATTGTGACTTGTAACTCAGCGTTGCATCACTTCAAGCAGCACCTGACGACTAACGTCACCTAAACATCTCCTTCTAAACCCAAATGGCCAGCATCGATTGAAACTTCATCTAAATCCAACAGAGTTACCATAGAAACCACGCTCTGGGATACTTGACCTGTGCCGAAAGCAAAATAATGTAAGCCTACATGTTCAACAAGATAGGATTGGACCTAATATTTTTTCAATAGATTCACATCTTATCTCCAAACTCTCGCCGTTCAATAACTCCTACAATTACAAGTCATTTTGCAAAGGATATTTAAGCTGTAGGTTTAATCTATGCATCGCGGTGTAACATAACTTCGTAGTATGTTTTAGGGAATGCATAAGGAAAATTCAGGAAACATTTCGACTGAAATGGATTACAACACAAAGATTTTCAGTAGAATTGGGATGTAACTTTCTTAATAAGGTACTTAATATGTTTTTTATGCATTTTCAAATGTACGAACTAGTTTCTGTCTTTAGTTTTCTCGAATTAACTGTAGTATAAAACTAGTTTATCCAAATAGAATTGTGTAGCTTACATCTATTATTAATTTAACGGTTTAGAATGGGTAAGAAACAAGATAAGAATAATCATCATTATCCACTCCTTTATCAAGTGAACCAAGATACTTTCTTCTCCGTCACATTTTAATATTTAGTTTTCATTGTATTATATAATAATTGCTTTTTTCATAAGTTTATTATCAGAAAGGTTGCAATACCGTGAGTAAGCATTAAAGAACTTTTATCCCAAGACATTGATTGATGATACTTTATTTTTTTCTTCTCTTTAAACACGTAAAGAAATGTCATTTAGACTATCCATAAATAAGAAAACCACAACATAAAATTGCAACCAAACAGATTTTTCCTCATTAATCAAGAAATTCTCTTTGTAAGACCTTCAATAACCCATTATTTTCTAGTAATAAAATTCTAATCTTCTAACACCACATTCACAACTGTCATCTTTACAAAGACGTAAAATTTTTCTAATGCAACATCTATTACTATCACCTTTATCAACGACATCAACTATTTCTACATCATACCTATAACTGATATCCTTACCAATAATAGTAACTATTTGTAACCCACAACTATAACAGTCACTCATAATGAAATATGTTAATTGTTCCTAATAGATAATTATAACTTCCCCGAAGACTTACTAGAAACTTCAACTGTATAACTGTCATCGTTTGCCAACGACGTCAACTGTTTTCAACACTGTCTGCCTACATTTTCTTAAACTTCTAACTACTTGTAATAATTCAACCTGAATATATATATCTATATATATATAAGTGTGTGCATGAGAGTGATAAAGGCCAATGGCGGTTTTTTCCTGAATGAACGCTGTGTTATTGTTTCTTTTACCCAATTTAATATTCCAATAACACTTTGTTAGTTGTTTTATGTTACGTGACGAAACGTTTAATTCTGTTATTAACAGCTCGTAAAAAAGATACGATCTTGATTAGAAAAATACTTGAATAGCTGAAGAGTAACGTATCTGAGAAATTGGTACCCCTCCTCCACCCCACACATACACTAAAGTAAGATAGTATTGAAATGAAAAGGTAAATAAAAAAGAAAAGATAAAAATTATGGTTTTTGTTTTTCTATTCCATCACAGAAAGTGAAGATATGTATTTGGTTTAGTTACAGTTATATAAATTACTTATTTATGGCAGCAATCCTTTGATATTTGTAGGAAACAATAGCCCCTCTTGCTCAACAAATATATGAAACGTTCTACACGAGTAAACTCTTTTTTTTTTTCCATTGTCATTTCATTCCAGCCCATAGAACTGTCGGTCAGCAGAGGGTTACGCCTTCTCGTCGGTCATGAGGTTAAAACTTCAGAGTATAGTGGCTATCGGTAATGGATGAATAAGTGTAAATTTTATTGTAATGAAAATGATTTAAAAACGGAAACTAAATGTAAGAAATTATGCTCGTCAGGTGTTCAAAACTTCATTTAGTTAGTTGTAAAGGGAAGTGAGATAAAAACATCATAGGCAGGATAAATATATTGATGCAGGTTTTTCATAATATAAGTAACATGTCAGGAAGACACCCTCTGGAAGAGACATCTCATACTTGTTGAAAAGATGTTCGGGGAGGAAGTAGTTTTCGTAGAGGTTGAACCGGGGGAGCTTAACAAATGAGCAAGGATAACGTTGTGAGTCAAGAAGTAGCGTGCAATATAATTTATAAGAAACTTCTAAAGATAATGAAGAACGTTGGGAAATATGATGCGACCATACAACTTCTGAGTTGAAGTGGATATCTTTATTTTGAAGGTCAGACGGATACCATGGTGTTCGAGTACCGTATGTCTTTATAAAAAGAAGAGGCAGATATGCATAAATAATATAGGGTCGAATTGAGGCCTTATAAGAAGAGAGAAGAGGTGAATTCAAACTCTAAGCGGTTCAAGATTGACACCGCCGAAGGTTAAGTCATTGTTTGACCTTGAAGTTTATTGTTGTGTACAAGGTGGGCCTTCTATGTCAGATTCTTATTAAAGTTGACACACAGATATTCTTGTGTAGAAGCATAGGAGATGTGGACATTGAAGAGATCGGGATTTGGGCATGTTCTATAATTCTTTTTGCTCATTCAAAACAGAATGGTCTTATGAGTATTGAGTGTAAGCCGCCAGTATATTTAATGTAACCATAGTCCAGCAGATAGTCACATGGCAGGATCATCAACATACTGAAAAATCTAAATAAGGCGCGAAGGCTGTTGCATATCAGAAACATACAGGATATAGAAGACAGGTGAAAGAAGTGCACCTTGCAGACCACCAACATGGAAGGTAAAGGATCTTGAAAACCTACTTTTGAAAGAGAGACTGTCTGACTCTCCATAAGGAATGAATTTATGACACCAGCGTAAGAAGGGTGGGATATACATAGAAGATCAAACCACAAAGCCTTTTGAAAATCGAAGAGTATCATACAAGAAAGTCGATTTGTATTAAAATGATTGGTAATGGTTCCCTAGAGGCGGATAAGTTAATCTTGTGTAGAAAGGAGGAGATAAAATCCAGCCTATGTATGTGGAAATAGTTTACGGTCTTCAAGATATTGGTGTTGACGCGTAACAATAATATACTCTAAGGTTTTACTAAATACACTTGTGAGGATGATTGAACTACAGGAGCTAATACTGTAAGGAGGATTATTGGATTACTGAGAACTTCCAAGATTGTGGGTAAAATCCATCATGGATAAGAATCGTAAAGAACATTGCCAGAAGGAATTTCCTCAGAGAATGACAAAGATTTGTATAAGTAATTCCAATCCAGACTTGGTGCGGTATTTAGCATATTCTATAGAGCCAGGTGGATATCAGCCATAATTATTAGAGCATTTATGTAGTTGTTCTCCAGGGTGTGGTTACAAATGGGTGTAAGTTCAGTTAGGGAGATATCAGATAATATAGAAACGTATCAAAGCCCAGGGGTGTTTTTGTGGAGTTTCAAAGCTCGTCTCGTGGAAGGCTGTAAAGAGACTGGTTTTGTTAAGGGATGTTGTTGGAGCAGATGTACTATCTATGATCGGGTAAATGGGAGAGCATGATTGGTCAGTCAGTAATTTAAAACGACGTCAGTACAGAAAGGAACTGGAGGAATTCTAAAGCTGATTACAGACCTTTCGCCACTTGAGTCTCTTAGCTGCAAGAATATAATTACATGTTGTACGTTAAGTACTCCGACGATGCTGGAGGATAACTGGGTCAATGGTTTGGGAATATTCACGAAATGAAGAGGTGAAGTAATGATATTACTCGACGGGAAGTTTATGTGGATTATAAGAAATGGTTGGAATATGCTGGGAGCTGGCTGAAGTGAATAAAGTTTCAAGTTTTTAGAAAAAACGTTAATAAGTTGATGAGAGGAGAGGCCTACAGTTGTACCCTACAGGATATTATCGATATGGAGCTGGTAAGAAGGCCAATCATTTAAAGAATTATTTTCAATCGCTTTTTTCACGTACGGCTAACTGAATTGAAATTGGAAGATGACCATGATTATCTGGATGAAGAATGTGAACCTTAATTAGTGAAACTAAATTTGCCGAGTCCACAACAGTATCAGGAGTTGTAATGGATTCAGGACGATTATGGAATAGAAAGGACAAAATATATAATTTAATATTTTCCACTGTGGAACGAAAATGACGTAGTTCAGGGGAGGATCCGCTTTGATAATTAATATCAGCTATAACAATATAGCTTCGGAAATTATAGTCCATGTATAGGAAGAAGTCATGAGTTCGAATATAGACTGTAGTGGGCTTGGCTTAGTAGGTTTTGCTTGCTATATTATATCTCAGTAATTATTAACTCATTTAACAAATAATTCTGCAATTATTTCATTTGAAATTAACAGAGTAATATCTGAGAACATAAACATTTTTAAATCAATACTGTTTTTAAAAATAAATGTCATTGCTATCCCCCAGAATCAGTCAACTGTTAACAGTTGAATTTTGATTACTACGTCATTCACAAAATTAATTGCATCATAAAAAAAATATTGTCAGCTCTGCTGTTGTCTTCCGAAATGAACTTACACATACATTTATTTATTTATCCGGACATACTTAAATTCCA